TTACTTTCACTGCAGACTGCTAGGAAACAAAAGCAGCAAACAGACCTGTTCTCTGTGCAGCAGTCAGGCATTCGATGGTTGCTTTCTCCAGCAGAGGTTTTGAGTGGCACAGAAGCAAAGAATCTGAGAAGCAAATCCTTCATCTGAAAATGGTAGCTGTAGCCACACATCAAAGGGCAGCCCCTTATTCTTACTTAGTGCAGAAAGCATTGTTTATCAAGCTTGATTTTTTTTTCCCAAACCCAGAAAAAGCAATCATCATTGCAAGCATCATTTTCTACTTGCAGGAGTAGTCCCACTTTTTTGCAGCATAATTAACCTTTTCCTCCTAAGACTTGAGATGCAAAACTTAAGGGACAATATAAAGACTGGACAACAATCACAGTACTTTTAAGCTCGTTTCTTTTCCCTCTTAGTCTTTATTCTCTTGAACAATGTTGTCCATATTTAATGCAATGGTTTAATTTTAAGCTAACTCAAAACATGCATCCTTATTCACTTTTTAGTACAAGTTTAAGTTTGAATACTGAGGATCATGTATATAAGAAAGACATTAAGAAGTTTTTATTACTGTTGAGTCAATTCAAACAACTGATTTCTTGAGATAGGATTTACAAGAAATTCCTTATAAAAGCAAACTCTATTATGGGACTCTGTTATTAAGAGTCTTTCTTTTTAAAAGGATACTGTGACTATGTTTACACATTTACCTCATTTTCCAGGTGTAAATACCAGCTGCAAGGTTTTGGTTTTTATCTTCTCAGCTAAAATAGCAAAGAAATAGGAAATATTGTAGGTTTTATTACCTGTTGTCCATTGTTTTACAAATCTAGATTTCAGATTTTTGGTTCTCTCTAAACTTTATACAAGTTCTCTCTGGATATACAAAACAATTCTAGCTTTCAGAGGCAACTGGTCCTAAAAAGAAAAATAAAACATTGAGAAGTCTTATCAGAATCTATAAGCAAAATAAAGTGTTAAAGCAACCATCTGGTGAATTTGGGCCAAATACAAAGTCTTTATGCTGGAACCATCAAGATGTCTATACTACCTCTTGGCTTTATTTTGCCTATGGAAACTTGACCTAAACTAAACAACTATTCTATATCATTAAGTTGTCTAGGATGATGAAAGTTTAAATATATGTCAGACAAGCTGCAGCATCTGGTACAATTCAGTAATGATGATCTCCTCCAGAAAAAACTTTTAGAATTAAGGAGATTTGGTTGACCTATGTGAAGAAAATAAAGTTTTTCTGGCCTGATATTCTCACTGTTCACAAGTACTGATATTTGCCAGACCCTTCTCCATTGACAGAAACATAAAATCCTTTATGAAACATCTCATTATATCTCAAAATCCATTTTGAAGCAACCAGATAATTTGCCTTGGGTACAAAATGATCAGCACTGTTAAATCTTTCACTGTTACTTTTTCCTAAAATGTTTCTAATATATTGATTAGCCCTAGTATTTCTCCCCCAGAAAAAAAAAAAAGTCTGACAAAGTATTGTTAAGGAGTGCTGCATATAATTTAACTAACTTGACTATTTTCTCATAGTTTGTTAATATAACTAATTAAGTTCTTTTCAAAAGGCATACAAGATTAGGTAAATGAGATCTTGTGGAAGAAAGAATGTTAGAAGTGATCATGGTGACATTTGTGTCTTTCAACAGCTCTTTTTAAAGGGTGCTACAAATCTCAATGTGTAAAAATTGCACACTTTTAATAATAAAGGGAAATCATGTTTAAATGCGACATCTTTCATGAATACATGGTGGAAAGTTAGAACACATATGACAAAGTTTTAATATTTTATTATATAAACATATATGAAAGAAAACCACTAAAAATCCAATAGATAAGCAAAGGTATAAAACAATAATCAAATTATAACAATATGAATTACCATTTCACCCATCTTATAACTGACTTTAAAAAAATAAGACTGCCCAATGTTGGCAAACTATATGATGACAGGTAAACTGCTATGAGTATTTTTCGCAAAATTCTGTGTCAAATGTTTATTCCTTTTAACCCAGTAAAGTCCACCTGTAGGTTTCTACCACAAGAGAATAATTCTAAATATATATTAA